TTACAAAAGCAGTTTTTTACACAAAGAATTTAATTTTATCTTTTATTTAAGAGTTTAGTTACTTTTCCCTACATTTCTTATTTAAAATAGTTTTTACAATAACAAATATCTGCTTTTTAATTTAGTTTCAATACACGCAAAATCTTTCTTTAATTATATTCATATTTTTTTTCCAGTGTATTTTAAAGTAATTTTTTCATTTTCTTTGACATATATTACTGACTTCAGTTTTCATTTAATCCACAAATATTTTTTATATTTAAATATATATTTAACAACATTTATAATATTTTATTGAACTTTTGAGCATTTCTTTGTAGCCTCAACTATATACATTTCATTAAATATATAAATATATACTTGTCACTATATTAAAATTACATTATTGGAGGGTTACTTGGGTCTAGGTTTGTTTTTTTTATATTTTAAAATTATTATCAAACATTTTTATTTTTTCTTAAATGCGTACATAAAATTTAAAAATAAATATTAATTACGATATTAATTAATATATAATAATTTATTTATAATTTTATATAAAAAATATTTACAACAAACTTGAAAAAAGACAATAAAAAAAGTAACTAATTAAAAAATTATATTAAAAACCGTAATTGTTAAATTTTGAATTATAGTTTATGTAATGTGATATACCCTAGTGAAGGACCTATGCTTCACTAGGAGAGAAGGACAGCAGATAGACAATGTTTACACTTGAACTTATCAAGGCATTAGCCTTTTTTATCTAAATTTTGTATGAGTTTTGTATGAAACATCGTACATACTGCTTGCTCCATATTCATCAAATCAAGTAGAATGATCTAAACATAGCATTATATACATATATTATTATATATTAAAATAAAAAATGAATAAAAACTGTTGTTCAGGTGTTACCAGATGATCTCCATTAACAGTTTAAACACAATCGTTATGAAAGATGCCAAACACAGCTATAGAAGTTGGACTTATTTAGCAAACTAGGTTATTGTAGAAGTTTTGGATAAAGTTATCTCTATTTTAGACGGGAAGTTCATACTGTCCTTATGGTTTAGTAATGTGAGCTGAAAGTGTATTATACTCTCTGGCAGTGATATAGCAGATAAACAACATTTTTCACTTTTTCTACAAAATGATAGTTTCGAGAGAAGTTATTAAGTGAAACCCATATCTAGCCTACTTAATAGTAATGTCAATGTAAAATTTCGGAACAAAATAATGAACATTCTTGACAGTAGCTCTTCAATAAGATCGCAGAGGATATTGGGATTAGTTACCTACCAATGTTTAAGTCACTTCCATTTATAGCGTGGAAACAACATGTATGGGGGCAGTGAAAATGAACTATGTTCCATTTAGCGGAATATACAGTTACAGTTCGGTATATCGTATTTCATTCCTAACTCATACTCAAGTCAGTAGTAATTTAAAGTGGGATGTGCTGACCAAACCGTTTTAATCATTAGTTCACGACTGATAAATCCGGGAGCTTTGGTGGCCTATTTCGTAATAATTGTTTTATCGATGCTTATACATCAATGAGATATATCTATAAGTCAGTACTTAACTTGAAGCAAGCGCCTCGGTATATAAATATGTATGTGTGAGTTTAATTTTAAAAAATACATTAGCTTAATTAAGCAAATTGTAAGGTAAAACAGTTTAGTTCGCTCCGCATCGTGGTAAAAACTAAGACTGTTAAGTGCACACATACTAGTAACATCTCTGTAAGCTGACTGTCATATTACAAGGATATGGCTAGCTAAACCACCAAACATACTTTGAAAAGGACAGTTGTCATCTGTTGGAGATCTCCAGTTAAACGAGAAAATTAATTTCATATGTAAGTGTTATTTATTAGAAATGCTCGGTGTATTGAAAAGAATAAAACAAATAGTCCAACATAAAGTCAATCAAAATCAAAAAATAATTTTTATAACTTAACTTGAGTAACAATTAATTAATTATGTTCTTATATATAATTAACATTGTTGATTTTTTCTTGTTTTTGTTTGGAAGGAATTGTTAAGCTAAAATATAAAATATTTTTCACACAAGTAAAATATTTTAACAAAATCAGTCGTTTATTATTCTTAAAATTAATAATTAATAATTTAATAATTTTTTTATAACCTTAGCTTTCTTTTTGTTATAAAAAGGAACTAAAACTATTACTCACACAATATATGTAATATCTCCAACAACAAACGATACATCTTTCAAGTTCAGCCACCAGATAATAACATTGAAAACTAATTACGTACTTAATGAGTGAAACGAATCATATATATTAAATAAATTATATTAAATACACTTATTTACTTATATTACAAAACTTTACAAGTTTAATTTATTGAAACGAAAACAATTTTTGGCGAACTTTTTGCTACTAACGTTCGTAGTCGCAATTATGCAAAAGTTATTTTATAACCTCGCACAGTCAACAATAAAATTAAGGTTTTTTTATAAAAATTTTCAGTGTTTTTGTTTTTTAATTATAAATTTATAAATTTCCTTCTAGACATCTCTATAAACTAAATAATTCTATATACTAGTTTTAGTTAGTAGGGTTAGCTAAGTATAGTTTAATGATAGGATAGCACAATTTATGTTTAAAGTTAGTAATAGTACGCATTGTATAAATGTATTACAAGGATAATATATAGAGTTTAGTGGTAAATGTATTAGAGTTAAAAAGCCTAAAAAATAATTGCCACAGAAATGAAAACCGAATATCGAAACCCAAACACGCTTCACAGTTCTAGTTTAGCTTTACAGTGGCCTACATTTACACAGACTCAAGACAAGGTGAGCCAAAAACAAAAATCCACACGCATGCCAGAGTGTTATCCTAGTTTGCATGGGTGAGGCAGAGCCAAATACCGGAAAATGTATTTCTTCGGGTTCACTCAGTTCCTCTTCTTCGTCATCCACAGAGTTCGACATTGTTCGATAGCGCATTGTGAAGTTAACCTTAAATATAGCTTCTGCAGCGCCAGCTGGAGAGGAGACAATGAAGTAAAATATGCGTGGAACACGTTCATGCATGCTGACATATGTAAGACGAGCTTCCTTGCAATATGGAGTAGGGAGATCCTGTTGAAGAGAAAATAGTACAAAACTTATGAAACATTTTTCAAGAGTAGATACTTAATAAAGGTATGATAGTCAGATGTGAGAACAATAATAGTTAAATGAGAGATCATCTCTAAAATTATGAAACCAGAGAGGAGTAATGATTTATGAATCTATGAATTGCTAAAAGGTATGACTTCTTTCATAAACATGTGATCAAAATTTATTTATATATCAAATGTTTGGTATATTATTTTATTATATATAATATTATGTTATATATAATATATTAAAAATGTTAACATAAATAAATTCATAAATACTCTTCTCAAAAATAGCCTTGTTCTTATCTCAAGAAAAAATTAATCATTTTTTTCCGGAGATACGGGTCTACTTATTTTATTAGAGAAGCTGATAAATAACATTTCAGCCAAATTGAAAGAGTTACAATCCGTTTCATTTGTTAAAAAGACAAATAATGTTTTAAGTTAAAATCATGCTTTTTACAATTAAGTTCTATCTGATTTATCATCATAGGGCCAGATCCTATATTCATAAAATACAGTAATACCTTATAATATATTTACTTACCGTTACACCGTAAGCCAAAATGGTGCTGCCATATTGATTTCCAGGTGTGTAGACACGTTCGCCATGTAGCCAGCGTGCAGCATGAGCTGGTGGATTAGCACAAAACTCCACTGATAGATGTAGTGGGGAGCCGGGATACGCAACTGGTGTAGCATTACGTGCTACTACAGTGGGTGCACCTAAAAAGAAATAAGGTTGTAATAATATAAAACAAATATCAAAAAAGTATTTAATTATATAAATCTGGATTATAGGCACTAAAGAGAAATTGACTTTAGTTTGAAAGTTGAAAGTCGTTCTACCAGAGTTAAATGAGTAATATAACATAAATTTCGATTTTGTATAATTGAAATTGGCTTTAGTCTTTAATATTTTATAGCTCTTAAGAGAAAACTTTTCAATAAAGATTTTACAAAAATCTATTACATGAGAGATAAAGCTCTTTAAAAATAACTAACAAATTTTATGCTCTCTTTAGACATCAATAACAACGGTTTGTGTAGAAGTGGTTGATTTAAAGCTACTTCCATTAGATATGTATTTATAGACTCAATCATCCCTGGTTTGAGAATAGTTGCCAAATCTACAAAATGGTGTGGGTGACAGTAATAGAATTGCAGTTTCTTTTCTTCTTTTTTCAATGAAGTAAGTGTGAAGTAAGAGTATAGTTGTGGTTTGGAATGGGTTGTTGAAGGATCTCTTGTGAATCTGATGTAAGTTTAGATTTTGTGTATGGTAGTACACTTATATTGTTAATATTTTTCGTTTTAAGGTTTATTTCAATTCTGAAACTGATGGTATCTGGAAGTAACATGGAATAAAATTAGTATTCATATTGATATATTCTGAATGACTGTACTCATTGAGTTCCTTTTAATCAAAGTAGAATGCATAGTCCTTATTAAAAGATTTCAGAATGTTCCCTAATACATCTATGCAATATTTATTTCCATTACCGAACTTTAAAAATAATTGGAAATAAGAAATTTTTTTAATTAATTTTAAATTTTATAAAATCATTAAAAATCGTATTTCACCCTTGTAAGCAAACTACTTTGAGTATCCAAAATTTTACGCCCATTGGTATTTCCAAAGCGGTATTTGCTTAATTTTTCGACAGAATATCTGTTCTGTCTATCCTTTTACTCTAATCCAATTAACAGTACCCACCAATGGACAACACTGGCCTGCGGGCAACAGCGACAACAACAACAACAATAACAGCAATAATGGCAGTCGCTCAATTTCTACGCCTCGAAATGCTGCCACATGCTTGACTAAATACGTTTAACATTTTTTAACCAGTACTTAGAGAGGGGCGAAGAAATAAATTAAATTCAAGCCCAGAAACAGCTGCTGCGGCATAGACTTTATACTAAATAAAATACAACAACAATTTAAGTACTTAATGCATAATTTATTTACATGGCAACACTTGTCATGTGAGTGCCATCGTCATCGCCGTCGTTACCGCCATCGCTTCTACGTAATTTCAGTCTGGCAAATTCTAAACACCTTTTGCAGCCATTAAACAAGGATACGATGACGAGGGTACCAACGAACCCAACGAGGGTAGTATGCGTTGTTAATTGATTTTACTTACAACAACACAAAATGGCTGTGTTTATACAAACTCATTTGCACAAAACAAAAAACGCAAAACCAACAAAAAATGAAAAACGAAAAACAAAAACAAAAACAAAAATAAAAGTAAATATTAAAAATAAAATAAATTGCAATAAAAACAAAATAATAAAAAAACAACAACAAAATTAAAATTAAATTTGCAATCATTTTTGCCACTTGAGTTGTTGTTGTTATTGTTGTTGTTACTGTTGTAGTTGTTTTTGTGTTTCATTCATGCATGTGCATGTGTTCACGTTCTTTTGTATTTGCAGGGGACACAGTGCGATGTCCGTCTGTCTGATGTGTTCTGTTAGGTTATTGCTGTGCTGCTGCACTCATTTGCACTTAACACTTAAGCCATTTTGTTCATTATAGTTGTTGTTGTTGTTGTTGGTATTTGTTGCAAATAAACTTCTCAAGTTTATTTGAATCCTCAAGTGGAATCAATGATGAGGAAAATTGCAAATTTTGGCTACTGTTGGGGTTTTCCAATAAGAATTGCAAAAAGGGCTGCCAAGCCCTGTTGTTTGGCTCGTGCAATCAGAAATTTCTACCATTCAACTGGATGTGTTTATTAGGTTTTTATTATTATTATGTTGTTGTTGTTGTTGTTATTGTAATTGTTAGTATAGTGATGTGCATATTGCAATAACCGAGACAAGCGAGTAATTAGATTTTGTGGGCAATTGTTGGCAGTTTGGGAATTTATCAGTAGTTAGCAAATGAAATTTGATTTGATTTTCTAATTTTATTTTTCTTATTTAATTTAAACAAAATTTTAATTGAAAATATTTAAAACCATAAAGGTTTACAGTATTAAGTTCTGTGCCACAAGTGTCAGATCTAAGAAAACATTTCTCAGTTTTACCTTGAATTGATTATCAAATGTGAGAATTGTGGTTTCCTAAGATTTGCTCAGATTTCGTATATTTCATGATTACACATTTGCGGTAGAGAAGACTTTAAAATACTTTATGTCTTATTTGATATTTTTTTAATCTGTTTTTGTTCATTGAAATTTTTAATTTGATAGGAGTATTATCATTGCCATTAAATTAATGAATTTTTATATATAACTTAATATATAAAGATTAATATATGAAGCTTTAAAAAACTCTTATTTGCCATAGGTAAGAGTATCAATGTCAATTATAACATTGCTTATGTCAAAATCTACAGAGCCTTTTTAAAAGTTTGACACAAGTACAAACCTTTAGTACTGAGTTATTCATTTTATACTTCCAAAAGTATACGTGAAAAAAAAAAATATTTACTAATTGAAATTCTGATCAATTTTTATTTCAGTATATAATTTAGATTTTGCCATTTGGTATGAAACACGATATTTTTATATTGATAATACTCTGCCCATTTCTTGACAGATTTCGTTTTAAAAACATCGAGAGTTTAAGATGGTTACAAATTCTGTGATTTTGGAGCCAATTCACATAGTCAAAAAATAAAATTACATGTTAGGGAAATTTCTCGGGCAGTAAAAACAAAAGCGGATATATTGTGGTTTTATTGAAATCAGATACTATTTCACGTCGAAAAAAACTGATAAACAAGCGGTAAGTTATAGTAATTGACGAGTAAAATACTTTTATATCACTTTTAACAAATTAGTTTCATAAAACTAATAAAAGTGTGTGTACGAAAGAAAATCGTTTCGTACCTCGAATTCATACCTATCATTGACAAAGTGATAAGAAATATCATAAATATATAAATATTTGCTTTATCTAATACAGAATACTGCAAGCAGTGTATTTGTACCACACCTGTCTCTTTAAAGGTCTTGAATAAAACGGAGGGCGTCAAGTTTTTCTGGCAAAGGTGATATGAGGAACTTCTCGTATCAACATTTTTCTGTCACAAAGAAAGGCTAACACATACAAGTAATATTTTTTATTCTCTTATCTCTCTACAGGCATGGCTATATCTTCTTACTTCCCTTAAATTCATTTTATTCAGCCGGTATCATGTCAAGAAAGTTATCAGCAACGTTGTTTCTATTCTATTGAGTACTTCAACTCCCTGTTTTGCTGCATCTTCTCATATTAAACAATGCATTCTTAGAAATATTTTCAATATATAAATATCTTTTGCGTGCAATAATGTTGTGATTATCGGAGATTCTTCGAAAATCTTCTCAAAGCATTAGTATCCATAAGATGTATTAATTCTTTGGATGTGTGTATGTACTCAATAAAAAGTACAATATACAATATATCTGCCAGCAACATTTTATTCAATTATTTGAATTTGCATTCTTTTCCATGTGCACAATATTGCAAGAGAGCGTACGAACGTACGTTTAAATGCAAAACTGCATTGTATTTTTATTGAAATTGTTAAGCTGTATGAAAAAATTCAATTATTTTTCTGGTTATAAATATTTTCTTTTATTATTATGACTACCACTGAACCACTGTACCACTGTAGTCAGTTGCAGTTGCCATAGCAGTGCAGCACTAGTACACTACGCATGAAAATTCTTTTATGCTGAAAGTATGCAATGGAAATTGCTGTGGCGGGATGAAGTGCATAAGGAAATTTCATTAACTCAGTTTTTGTGTAGCGAAAATTGAATAATTTTCATTCAGAAAAAAAAGCTTTTCTCAAAGAAAATTAAATCAAAATAATAAATAAAACCATAACAAAATAATAATAACAATTAAACAATTGTGGTTGACATTTGTTATTGTGATTTTAAATGAAAAAGAAATTATTTATTTATTGCATTTATTGAATTGACAAACTGCAATTTGCTGAGTTGCAAATACTTAGCAAAGTATTTTTAACTATCTACTTGGTATTCAAAAAGATACTTTGACAAAAAATGTTTTGCAATATACAAATATTTATTATATTTTAATATTTATTATTTCTATTTTAATTAAGTGCAAGTGTTTAAGTGTACTGAAGCACACTGCATATGGATTAAAAGAAGAAATGTTGCTTATTGTTCAGATTGCCAGCAAAGTTTTTTCGTACTCGTAATATTCTTGCACCTTTGCACCTATTTTTCTTTTAACTTTTCGTTTCCGTCACTTCATTAAGCTGCTGGCATTTGTAAATTTTTGTTACTTGTACTTGACCCGATTTCGAAAGTATTTTTTGCAACTTCCACAAAAAATCCTTTTTATTACGAAAATGTTTTACAAAATTGCATTTGTAAGTAAAATCAGAGTCGAAGGTGTGGCGAACTTGTACTCTTGTCACTCCGTTTGCTACACAATTGACACAAATTCAATTCATTAAGATTGCGACTACAAAACGAACCTGACAGAAGTGTGTAGCATTGCCAAAAAGAAAAAGAAAATTATGTCCAAAACTGCAACAAACTCAGTTGTTTCAGAAGAAAACTTGCTGTGGCTGGCTTAAGTTTTGGCAAGTGGTAGGTCATGTCTTCCACTTGTAAAGAAATTCGGTGATAATGGCGAGCAATTGGAAATTCTGTCATTGATTTGCGGCTCCAGCAGTAATTGGACACATGTGTGCCAGCCAAAGTGAAAGTGTCATAAATTATTTAAACGTGTATGAAAATCAA